ACCCAAACCCCCTTCAACAAACCGCCTGCCCCCTCCGACCACGCCCCCCCCTCAACCACCCACCACCCAGCAACGTGGACCTCAACACCAGCTCCCTCAAAATGTACTGGAACGTGGCCAGGCGGTTTGGGGGCCAGGACCTCTGGCGCAGGCTGCTGACGGTGCGCCCCCCGCCTCGAAATCCCCCCGCAAAACAACAAAGCTGCCCATCATCTCGTCGCGGGGCCGCTCTGTCTTGCGCTGCATGTTGAGGGAGCGAGACGGGCGCAGCAGGCGAGGTTGGCTGTATCCAATGGCCCTCTTGGCGGCGGCCGCACCCGCTGGTTTGCGCCTCTTCGATGCGCCCAACCTCTCTCCGGCCTCTCAAGAAATGCAAAACCCTGCACACTCACAGGTGCTGCGCAGCGTAGCGGACAAGCACAACGTCACGGTCGCCAACGTCGCCGTGCGCTGGTGCGCTGCCCCTGGGGCCGCCGCGCTGGGCCGCACAGCTGTGCCGCGCCGCCCCGCCTTGGGCGCCCGCACATCGCGCGGTGCGGGCTGCCTGCTGGGCGCCTGCCACCCTCCTCCTGAGCACCCCGCAGGCGCGCCTGAGCCACCCTGTGCTGGTGCCCCTTGCTTTGCGGCATTTACGCGCATCACACCCCCACCCCGCACTGCATTCAGCCCCACCAAGTTTAGCCCCACCACATCAAGGGCCAGCACCGCCCCCCCAACCCTGCCCCAAACGCGCCTTCCCCTCTAGGGTGATGCAGCAGGGCGAGGGCGTGCACCCCATCATCGGCCTGCGGGGCGTAGAGCACATCGAGAACAACGCGCGCGCCCTGGCGCTAACCTTGGACGCCGCTGATCTGGCCGCGATCTCGGAGGTGCTGGCCGAGGCGCAGGGGCCGGCTGGGGACATATACAGCTTCGAGCGCAGCGGGTGACGGCAGCATAACTCACGGACCAGTGGCAGCAGGCGCACGCCACTTTGTCAGCCGGGCTGTGTGTTTTGTAGGGTCCATCGACAGTTTTGTTGCAAAGTTGGCGGTGTTCGTCCCGTCTGCCCAACACAGCGTCCATGTGCACACGAACACATATGGTGGATTCTGATGTGCCTGTGGCAGCAGTGGTGCTTTCGAGCACTCGGCAAGTGCGGCGGATGAATTGAGGCGGGCTGCTGGCCATGCGACTGAGGCTGCCATTCGAGGCGCCGGCCCACGTGGCGCCTCGTATTGAACAGCAGCGGATTCGAGGGGCAGTTGCTTGTTGGTTCATCAGTGACCCTATTGCGACAGTGGCGTCAGCCCGCACTGCACATGCCTGGCTGCCCTGATCATGACGGTCTGCTGCCGACATGCAGGTCGCGTGTCTGACGCTTTTCGCACCCTGCATCTGCGCCCTGCAAGTAACTCGATTGTCACCAGGCCAACTTCAAACAATCAACATTACTCAAAGGGTGCTGCTGATGCTGCAACTGCGTGCATAACGTCGTGCCCATGTGTGGCTGCCAGACTTTCCAGGGCAGGCTCAGCAGTGAGCGCGACCGAGCAGGCCTGTCACTGCGTTACAGGGGCCTGCAGGGCGGAATGGGGCCACAAAACTGCCCCAGCGCTGCTGATGATGTCAACATGTACATACTGTGGGTACAGCTGGATTCAGTTGTGAATTCAACCAAAAGATACGCGTGCAGCGCAAACTAGCAGAGCAGCTATATTTGAGGTTGGGCAAGCACATGGTGGAAACTCAAATGGGCCGGAGGGCCGCAAAGGAAAAGAAGGTGACAAATTGCTACAAGAAGGTGACACATTGCTACATGAAGGTGCCAAATTGCAGGCACAGAAGAATGCAAAACGCAAAGAGAAGGCCCCTGCACAGGGCAGTGGACCGCGTGTAACACCAGCAAACAGAAAAGCCAGCCAGGTGCGGTGCATGATGGACGGATTTTTAAGCCATCGGCGCTGCAGTGCGGAATACATATGCATGTGCGTATTCGTGATGTTGGTTCAACTGCATGCGCAGAGAACGCTGACTTGCATGAGCGTGTATGTTTATGGTTATGCTTGATGAGAGGACAGGCATCTGCAATCGGCTCATCAGTGCAGGTCGCAAGGTGTGCTGCAGCAACGAATGGCAGGCAACCAACCAAGGCACAGATACACACGGCATTCTCCTGCGTTATGAGCAGGGATTTTGGCCAAGCCTCCATCGATTGCTGATCATGAACCAAATCAAGCTGAGGAGAAGGGTCACGCCAGCTGGCAAACTTGGCCAGCTCTCCAGCGAGTTCATGGGGTCGGTTTTGGAACCTTGCAGGTGACAGCGGCCGTGCTCTCCGGCCCGACGTCCCGCGCCAGCTTGTAGCTGAACTTTCCGGTGAACGCCGCGGTGTAGCCACCCGGCGGAGTGTATGTTACGTAATAATGCGTCTGGAACACCGCGCCGCTGGCCAGCGCGTCCCCGTCGTAGTCCGTGCCCCAGTCCAGCCACCCGCCGTCCTCGGCCTCGCACCCGCGGGTCGGGCCGGACTGCCCGTCGGCCGCCAGCCGGACTGAGTCCACCTCTACGTACTCGCCGTCCGCGCAGCACAAGAAGACGCGCGTGTTGGCGGCGTCGGGCAGCTTGTCGTTGCGCAGGACAAAGGCGCGGCAGTCGCCCGTGTTGGAAGACCACGGGGCGACGTCATTGCGTGCGACCGGGTCCGTCTGGGGCCCGGGCGGCAGCACGTCAGGCGATGCTTCCGGGTCCACGGGCCCCGGCGACCGGGACGGCTGCGGCGAGGGGGAAGGGTCGCCGCCGCCGCCGCCGCCGCCGCTGCCAGTGCCGCCACTGCCGCCACTGCCACCACTGCCGCCACTGCCGCCACTGCCACCACTGCCACCGCCGGCGCCGCCGCCACCGCCTCCAGTGCCGGGTGGGACGTAGGCTTTGGCGCTTCGAAGCGGCGCCGAGGCTTGGAAGGCGGCCGCCCTCAGCCCGAGCGCGATTGTGATCTGCTTGCCGGTGTAGTCCAAGGCGGGCGCGAGCGGCTTTAGGCGGAGGGCAAGGGAGCCGCAGTCCAGGAAGAAGTCCGCCGTCTTGGACCGCAGGCTGAGGCGGCACGTAGGCGCCTTGACGAAAGCAGCCCCCGCGGCTGCAAGGTCGATCCTGGCGGTAGTGGTGTCCGAGGTTCCCTTCTTGCCGGTCGTGATGTCGAGGTTGAGGGTGCCGGCGATTATGGCGGCTGTCACCTTGACGTTCTTGCGCCGATCGGCCTTGACAAGGTTGGCTGGGCCGTCGGCGGCGGTCAGGGAGAGCTGCGGGGCGGGGGGGGGGGCGCGGGAGAATGCATGGGGGAAGGGTTCTGCGTGCGGCGGGTTGCTACAGATACTTGTAGGCTGCACCCGCACGCTCGTACCTATGCCCTGCTCCGGCACATGGTACGCCGTACTGTGCTTGCAATCGCCCCTCGCGGTAAAATCCTTTAGAGAGCTGCGCACAGGCAACAAACCGGGCTGATCAAGGATCGGCACTGGGTGCTCATCAACACAATCCAGTGCGGGTCGCAGCCGCAGCCGCAGCGGTGGGGCGGCAGCAAATCTGAAGGCTTGCGCACCGTAAGACCCGTGATGGTGTAGGAGGCAGTGAGGGTGGCGCCGCGGGTGACGCTCCCGCTCAGGTCGCCGACAGAGACTGCGGGTGCCGCACGGTCGGCGGGCGGAGCGCACGCAGCGAGGTGGGGGCCTGTGCGAGTGCCAAGTCACATGTTGGCTGGCCCGCCGGCGGCGCCCGTTGGCCAGCAGCCCAGATTCGAGAAAGGCAGCCGGCGCGGCCAACAATGAAGGAGTGTGCGCTCACATGAAAAGGCGGGGTCGTGTGCGTTCGCTGTGGGACCGACGCTGCCTCCCCCGCCGCCGCTGCCGCCGCCGGCTCCCAGCTGGCTGGACGCCAGCTTGGCGAAGAGGGCAGTGTAAGCATCGTCCTTGGGATTAGTCAACAGCGAGTCCTGGAAGCCGCAGCCCGCGGCCGGCGGGGGGAAGGACAGTGGCAGCGCACCGGTGACGGGCGAGGGCGCGGCGGGCTGGAGAGTGGCTGACAAGGTGCTGGCCTTCTTCCCATTATCGGTGACAGTAGTTGTCAGCTTGAGGGCGACCGTGGCTTGGAAAGCGGCGGACGTGCCTAAGGAGAGGCCTGGGGGTGTAAAGTGTGGGTGGCAGGCAGGCCTGCGGCGTCAGGGAGGTGGGCTTGTATGTGGGGTGCGTTTCACGGACACCACTTTCGTTCAACGGTGTGCTTTCAGGCTGCAGCAAACCTGTGACGAAACGCGGTATTGTGCGACCAGGGGCCGCAGGCAGCCAGATAGTGGGGGTAGGCAAGCCGCGGCTGTTGCTCTCGGGATTAATCACTGAACCTCTAGAACAAGACGGCTGCTGGGCGGCCCATTGTCTGCGCGCATGGGGAGGGGCACGCCCCGACACGCCCCGACGCGCTGCGCCCACCAACGTAGCAGTCTTGAGGGGAGAGACCCGCGGCGCTGCTGGCTGCGGCTAGGGCAAGGGCGAACCGCACCCAAGCCAGCCCCAGCGGCTGCTGAGGCAGGGCCATGTATGGGAGCCCTGCTGCGGCCGCTCCTGAGTGTCTGGCAGCACGAGTGTTGAGGCGGCCGCGCGGGGGCGTGGTCAGCAGTCAGACGTGGTCAACCACAGTCGCATGGGCAGAACAGCTTGCTGATCGCCCTTTGTGAGTGCGGCAGAGGTTGCTGTTCGCAGCGCAACGTACGCACGTGGCGCCGGCACAGGGGCGACCGGCTGCTGCGCAAAGCAGCGGCTACGATCTATGTAGTTGCCAGGCCCGTGGGATGTGCAAGTAACGACATGCACCGCAGCTCCTGTCTGACTCACATGTGAGTGGTTCTCAGGCACTGGCGTGCGGTAGGCCCGGTCCACGGGCAGCGCTAATGGTGCCCCAAGGGCACGCAGAAGGTTCTGTGCAACACAGCAGAGGTTATTTGAGCGCGTCCCTGAGGCTAGGCGTGGCTTAACGTATGTATGTGATGTCGTGTGCTGAAATCTGCCCTCTCAAGAGGAGTTCGGGCTCTGGTCTAGAGAACTTCACATTCTTATTCGTTCGTCCCTGACTGATTCACGACACGGTTCGTCCGCAACTCACCATACCAAGACCCATGGCTACGCTCGACAGTTTGAAATAATCACAACTACATGCTTTGTACCCAGCTCCAGAACGCAGGCTCTGCTAGGAGGTAGTGGGGCCCCTCAGCTTCCCCTAGGGATCACTCCCGGCTGAGTCATGCCCTAGCCGCCATGCCAAAACCTCATCCCAGGCGCCGCCGCGGGCCAACGCGGTGCGATCCGAGCCGCCAACTCGAACTACAAGAATGAGGCGATCCACCTCCTTGCACTGCTGCGCGCGAGGAGGTGCTGCGCGCGCCTCCCCTCAATTGGCTCTTGTCACCCTAGGAACGCGGATGCTGCCCGGGGCAGCTGCTGGCCGACGAGATGTTCGCACCGGTCTGCACACCAAGAGGCGCACGACTGCTGGTGCCAGCAGCCGCGCAAGCGACGCCCACTGCTGCGTTTTCTCCAGGGGATAGAACTGCGGAGGGGCCACAGCTAGCCTGCGAGCCCCACCCCGCCAGCAAGATTCCGCACGCCCGACGCGTCAGCTGGCGGCCCCGTTACTCCAGAGACATGGCGTGCGTGGGTTACACCAGACCAGCAAACGCGCGGACAGGCACAGCGGGCGCGCGCAGCCCTTGTGCGGGTTGCCGCCGCTGCGCATTAGGCTTTGCACGCGCGCGCTCGCAATGGATGGCGCATGAATTCAAGCTCGGGTGCAGATGCGGGTGCCAAAGCGAGCCTGCAGGCAAGATTGCTGACATCTCGAACCCTCGAGACGCTTCCGGTCACTACAACGTAACCAGGAGCTTCAAGCTGTGAAAGAAGTCCAGTGGGGATGGGGAGCCCCCACCAGACCAGGGCTGCATTGCAGGCAGTGAGGCTTGGATGAGAAATTGGGGCCGCGCAGCGCCGTCCCACCCTCGACAGGCGGCGAGAGGCCGCGGCGCGGCGTCCTGAGGCGTGGCGACGAGCGCTGGGGCCCTGCGGGGCAGGCGGCCACGGTGTCGCAGTGGCGCCGCCGCGGCCCGCGCTAACGAGCCACGGGTGCGGCGCGGGGTCGTTCGTGTTGGGTTGCTGCGCCGATTGCGGTGCCGCCGCGCCGCGGAATGGGAGGCCGCGGGGATTCAGCAAATGGGGCCGAGAGCGCGCCGCGGCGGCTCCTCGAGTAGTATAAAAGCGTACAACGGCCCATGCAATGGGGCGACAGTGTTCCCTCGCGTGCTGGAAGCCGGTAAGGCGGGCCCGACATTGCCCGACAACAGGCGCTGCACCCGCGGCGGCGGCGTGCGCCTCAAAGCCCCGCCCTCGCCCGGACCCTAAGACCAGACGCCGCACGAAACGGTCCTCTGGCTGTTGAGATGGAGGGGCAGCAGCGCCGGCGGCGCCGTGACGCCCCGGTTGCGGCGATCATAGACGGAACGGCCTGGTGATGTCATCGGGCTCTGTATAGGGCCTGGGAACCCGACATGTTGCTGCCTGAGACCCCACCACATCCGACCAGTTTGGTCGGTCAACCAAGGAGGGCCCTCGGCGGGCGGGCATGGGGTCCCATGCCTTTTGAAAGGGCCACGGGCCCCTCAAAACGGCCCGACTGTGGCGCGCAAAGAGGTGGGAGGCAGGAGGGGGCGGGGGCGTGCGGTGAGGGGCGGTCCCCTGCACTGGGCGTTGCTTGGCGGGGCGCAGCGCCCACTCGCGTCGCCGCCGGCCAGTTGGTGGCCCAGCACGCTGAGCGGCGCGCTGACTCAGATCGCAGCACGGCGCCGCTGCCGGCGCGTGGACCAGGCACGCGGACTCACCCTCAGCGATGACACCATAGAATGAGCCGGTGTAGGGGTCCATCCAGGCATCAAGCGCGCCCGAGTCGCTAAGGCGCTTGCGGCGGGCCCCAGCCGCGCATGATGCAGAGGGTGCCAGGGGGGCGGCCGGCTGGCGCGGCTCGGCGTTGCGGGGCTGCTCGTGGGGCTGCTGCTGAGCCGAGTGGCTGCTTTGCGACCACGACGTGGCCTGTGCTGTCGACGAGACGGGGGGCGCCATAGCAACAACGATCCCGCGGGGTGGCTGGACACAACAACGATGACCGGGTGTACGCGTCTGCTTATAAGCACGATGGCGGTGATTGCGAAACGAACATGCGAGCGTTTTTGCCTTGGGCCGAGCCGGAAGCAGCACGGCCGTTGGGGCCCTCTTATCTCAGGTCTGGATCACGTCGGGAAAAGGTCATCGGCGCCGTGTTTTCGAATCAAATCTTTTGAGCAATGCGGGTGGTGGTGGCGCGCATGCGATGCATCTGCCGGCCCTGGACGGCCTGCAGCGCGCAAAGCGCGAAGGCCAACGGCCTGAAAAAGCGCGCGGCGAATCTGGCTGCGCGCCTGTGACAGGATGCCGCTGCGGCATACTGCCCTACAAGCAAACTGCTGATTTGGAGCTCTGTACATCAGAGTACATGCATGCTCCCTATTGACCTTGAGCCCGGAGCCTAGCTCACCATGTGGCCATGGCATCCCGGTTGACTGGCAGCTTGGCCGCTCAAGACTGACGTGCCCTTTTGACTTCAGACCTTCAGGAGGTCAGAAGGCGCCCAACGCCTCGCTGCCGAAGCCAACACAGCTGCTCGACCCAGGCTCCAGCCGACCCCGCACCACCACCCGCGCCCCCGCCTCCCACGACAATGCCGAGCTGTCAAGGACACGCAGCGGCCACGGCTTCGTCTGTCGGCGCCGACTCCGTTACACCTTCGGAGGTGTATTGAGGTCAGCCGTATGGGGACGGTCGGGCTGCACGCGCGCGAAAACGCACGTGAAAGGGGCTCTCACAACCTGCGCCGACGCCAGGTGCAAAAAGGCGGCGGCGGCGGCCGAAGCGGCGGGCGCCGCCGCAGAAAGGCAAAAAAGCGCCCGGCTGGCGGAAACACTCGGATCAAATAACACTCAGCGCGCCTGGTCAGGTTGGGGGCCGCGCCGCTCACAAGCAGGGCATGGGAACAGGGATTATTGAGGTTCTGGCAGAATCAACACACACGAGCGAAGGGCGCACACGCGCACGCACACACGCACGCGCCCACGTCACGCCGCCGACGCCTTGGCCTTTTTCCGCCGGCCGCCGCCGCCGCTCGCCGCCGCCGCCGCCGCCGGCTCCTGCTGCTGCTGCTGCTGCTGCTGCTGCTGGCCGTCCACGGGCTTTACCCGCTGCGGCTGGAAGACGTACACGTTGTAGATCACGTTGCGGCGGATCTGGGGGGCGGGAAACGATCGGACAGCGGCGGCGGTGTGGGCAAGGCAAGAGATATAAAATCGAGTTACGACAGTGGCCCGAAAGGACGAGGGCAGGGGCTTCGAGCATCAGTGCCGCGCGACTTGACCCCCCCGGGTCGATGGGGCGGCGGCACATCAGGAGTCCCCAAGTACCAACGAGTTTGAGCGCTGGCGCGCAATGTGCCCCCGCCTGTTGCCTCCCATTCCCTGAATCACATCGATGCAACCCCCCTCTCCCAAAAAAACACATGCACTCATGTGCACGCAGATGCGCGCGCGTGCGCACACGCGCGCGCGCACGCACGCACTCACACACACACACACACACACACACACACACACACACACACACACACACACACACACACACTCTCCCCAGCCCCCCACCTGCGCCGTCGTCTCCAGGAACAGGTTGTATCCCTCCAGCTTGAATTCAGTGAGGGGGTCGCGCGC